TATGTGTGTGTATATATATATATATATATATATATATATATATATAAATATGTACTTCCTTCTTTCTGCTTGAGCACCTCCAGATTTCCAAAGCCCGCCCGCCAACTTGCAAAATGGGCTCCACTGAGGCGAGGCCAGGCATCAAGCTGTCAACGTCAGCATCAACTGATATATGCAGCGTGCCATTACGGCCGACGGCAGAAACGCCAGCAAGTTTTTGTTTTTTCCTTTTTTTTTTTCTTTTTTTTTTCTTTTTTCTTTTTCCTTTTTCCTTTTTTTTTTCTTTTTTTTTTCCCCATAATTAAATATGTTTTTCTTCTTCCAATTTTGAATGAACAAATCAAAATGCTTGGTACGGCTAGGACCGTTCCCCGAGTCCACAGCGGGTCGGCCATCCTGAACTTGTAGAGTTACCCCCCCCTCTCCTCCCCTGTCCCCACTGCTTACCTACCTTACTTTGTTTCTATGGACAAGGAAATACTATCATGTACTACTATCTCCCCTATGCCACATGGAATTCTTTCCTTTCACGATCCTTCTTTCAATCTCGTCGACATCCCCAGGAAACTCAATTTTGTGCGCGGAAGCTACCCATTACGACCCTCGACTACCAGCGTTAGAAGCCGCAGGTTCATTCATCACTTACACAGATAAGAGGTTGGTCAACCAGTTGACTGCCCATCTCTCTGCCAGCTCAGCATTGCTAACTACACTGCGTGCGGTCCCCAAGGTCGGAAGAAGAAGAGGATCAACATAGCACGGCCTCTTCTATCTCTCGCAGTCCAACCTAACTTTATATATTTATACATAAATACATATATACCTCAAACCGCTCCCTCTGCTCTGCCCCACCGCCCTTCTCACCCTGCTTCGTTCGACCTCACCTCGACATCTCGACCTCGTCATCCGGGGAACCATCGGTGGGATACCGCACATGATTGAGAAGTGGAAGAAAGAAAGGAAGGGATCGGCCATCTGAGCGCGACAGAAAACAAAGACGGCCCTGATCCGGCGCAACGCCTGGTATCTGGCGCAACCGCAACCCCCCTCCCCCCCCCCCCTTCCTCGCGACACAGATACATATACATGGGCAATCGAGGATCCCCGATAGCCCAGCAACATGTCAGGCCGGAGCGCGTATGTGCGCAAGGAGAAGACGAGGACGAAGGAGGCGAGCACCCCGGCCAGCGAAGGCGAGAAGCAGCTCCCAGATAAGCTTCTGGGTGTGGGCGACTCTCAGTCCTCCCTGCCCAGTGGCCGACAGCTGCCCCAACATATGCCCGAGGTGCCGTTTCGCAGCCAGAACAATGAGATCTCGACGACCCAGACGAACGGCTCGAATGGGTCCGACGACCTTGCATATGCGCGGGTCCGCAAGCCGCACATCCCCATTATTGACATCTCGGGCATTGAGAAGTCCTCGTTTAGGACTGCGATGGATAGGAAGAGCGAGGAAGCCAGGAAGGGGTTGAGTAGCTTGTTCCGTAAGAAAAACAAGAAGGGCGACGACACTGTCAACAGAGGAAGCGAGCCTGACTACCGACCATTTACCGCTGGGGCCACGGCGCGTGCCGATTCGGACGAGCTAGACTCAGCTGCCTCAGCTGCCTCCTCCGTAATGCCCAGGAAGGCCCGGTCTCAACACCTTTATGATGCCGGATCCACGCCCTCTTTTACAGGAGAACCTCCACCCGTTCCTCCTCGGGGCCCGCAATTGAGCCGATGGATGGGGCATGGGAGACCAGTAAAGCCTTGGAACAAGCTCCGAAAGGACCCAGAGCTCTGGGACCCCAATGGCGATACGCTGATTTTCTTCGGCCATGAAGGACAGTCTCAGAAAGGCCCGCCCTCGTTCCGGCTCTCGTCCTCTGTCCTCGAACAGACCGAGTCGAGATTCCTCGTCAGTCTACTACGCGAAGGATCTATCGACGACGGGAACAACTTCGGTATGCCACCCTCCCCAAACAGCTCGCCTGGCATGAGACAATCTCTGGTGATCCAGGAAGAAAGACCGCGGCACCCGACACCTCCCATGTCGGAAGGCAGCATTTGTGGCCCCGGAGGAGTACCTGACGGCCAGATCTCCTATGAAATCTTCTTCCCGATTCCAAGAGACGCGACCATAATCGAAATCCTGCGCCACCAAGTCACGACCCGAAACGTCTTCGCGCTTCTGTATCAAGCTTCGCTGGCTGGTTTGAACCTGTACCAGGCCTTGAATGATCTCCACCAACGGCTGGAGCTGTACATGCCCGACGAGATGGATGCAGCGGGCATGTTGATCGATTATGTTGTGAGCAAAGGACTCGACGACGTACGCAATGATCCCGCGACCGCAGCTGCACTGCTGGCCTGGAGCGAACGTAGCCATGTACGCTGGGAAGAGGGGTGGAGAGAGGCGTACGTCCACAGTTGTGGCATGTATTACCGACTGGAAAACTCCCCAGACTTCCACAACATCTCTCCCATCACCCGGGCACTACTCGAGAGAGCCAGCTTAGATGTCCACGAACGAGTACAGAGTTGCGAGGCCAGATTCGCCGACTTTGATTTTGGAGACATGTGGCCCGTGATGAGTTCACATCCTCCGCCAGCTCGGGCTGCTTTCGTACGTCTCCGCAAGTTCTTCCACCAGCATTACACGGCCGCCTATACGCAGTGGCCACCTGCGCAGCGCGAGGGGTTCGAACAATGGCTCACCCGGGATCTAGTTCAGGAGCTACAGAAAGACTTTGGCGCTCTGTACGACTATCTGGTGAATCGCGAAGTCGTCTGGGACTGTGTCGAAGAACGCAGCGGCCGAAAATGGAACATCGTCCACCCAGCCAACCGAGGATTTGATGCCGACTCGCCCGATCTCCCCTTCACGGACATCCTCGTCGCCTTCGACAACCGGAACAAATTCCCACACATCCCCCATCCTTACCCGTTGGTTCCAGAATCCATCCCGATCCGCTCGGACGTCAAGGAGAATTTCTACAGAGCTAGCAAGAAATCCAACAAACCTGCCGAAGATAAAATGGCCGAGCGCAAAGCCGCTCTCGCCTACACGGAATCAACAAACATCTACCTCCTCGGCTCAGACTTCGTCCACAACGACCTCGTCGAAGCTTTTGTGCGCTTCGAAAAGAACGACTGCGCAGGGGTCATTGATCCGTACGCCGCCCGTCGCGGGCGCTGGATTCTCATTTACGGCATCCTGCAGACGCTGGCCTCCATTTCGGTGGACACCCCTAACCTCCGATATACTTCCGATGTCTCGTACCACCTGAACCCGCGGCTGCGCGGCACACCGCCGTGGAAAGGGGCGAATCAGAATATGGTGGAGGCAAGCCATGTCGGCAGCCATTGCTGGACTGTGCGTGACAGCTGGCAGCCGGAAGTCGCGGCTGCGGGGGTCAAGCGAGTGACGCTGGGTACGACGAGTAAGCGCTCGAGTGCGCTCTCGATTACATCTAGTGACGCGGGATCGTTGATGCGCACTGCTTCCGGCTCCGTCTCACGTCGATCCTCCGTCGGCCGCAGAAGCAATGGGCGGAGAGAAAACAACGATACAAGCTACTCTGGCTATGCTCCAGACGAGTGGCCGATACTAGAGGAGAGTAGTAGGGAGCGTGACCGCAGTAGAATTCGACCCAATATGGAGTATGCACACCGTTCCGCCGTGGGGAGGAAGAGACATTCGATTTTCCCAAATCCGCCGAGCTACACGAGTGAAGATAGGGTGGAGTATACGATGCGGACGAGGGAGCAGAAGGAGCCATTTCCACTGCCACAGACGGATCCGAACTATCTCATCAGGGATTTTGATGATGACAGTCTTGGGGGCGAATTGTGAGAGGTTGTACTGCGGAGGGGGTGTTGCCTTGGGTACTATGGGTGCTGTTTTCTAGATAAATACCCACTTGACTTTCCTATTTTTCTCTTCTCTTCTCCCGCTCTCTTTTGGTTGGTTTTCTGAGGTGGAGTGCATGCTTGGAGGGAGGCGTGCTTGCCCATCGTGATCGAGGATGCTGGGATCCTCTGGGGTGAGCGGCGGGATCTTTCCGGGGCGATCTCAACGTGGCAACACGGCATTTCTTGTTTGTCTATCTATCTCTGCGATTTTGGAGCCGAGCTCGATTGTCAAAAATTTCATTTGGGGATTTCACAGGTCAGGGAGAAAGAGAGGAGTTGTGGTGGGAGGGAAGGGAGGCGGCGTCTTTTTGGCTTTTGGCTCAAGGAAAGCAAGCGTATGGAGCGTGCGAGCATCTAGAAGAGCTACCTACCTACCTATACCAGTCGAGACTCTTTACACAAAGATCCTCTCGTACCAGCCCGCCCCGCGGGCGCATGGAAGGGTAATTCTTCTCCAACCGAGCCCGCCCTTCCTTAGAGCTTATGTCAATTTAAGTCTTTGCTCTGTTGTTCCCCCTTTTTTTTTTTCTCTTGGCTCTATTGATTGATTGATTGATTGATTGGTTTGTAACATCGTCAGCGATGAACGCTTGAAGTGATTGATTGGATTTACGGAGTCTTTGCTCTGTTAACTTGTGTCTACTGGCTATTATGCGATGGCGAAAGGGAATACGAAGTTGAGAGAATCGGATCTATTCTTCAAGATGTTTATTACTGAGAATGGCAGGATGAGCTGCGATTTAACATTTCCAATTCTCAAACAAATAACCGTGCGACAATGTCAACAGAGCAGATGGGCCAACCGAAAGACCCTGGCCAAGTGGGGCTCGATCGGGATTCTGCCAGCAAAACCCGCGTTTGCCCCTCGTCTGGTCGGGCTCGAAAATTATTTACCCCGCCAATCTTCCACAGCCCACAACACAACAGCAAAGCTTTCGCTCCCCGCATTCCACCACAGCGGGAATCCGGTCGCCACACCCAGAAATAGGAAGATGGCCCTCCCATCTACAGTGCCTCCCGTCCTCTCAACGCCCGAATCCCACATCTTCGAAGACCCGACGCCTCCCTCCTCGACAGAGCAAGGACCTCGCTACGATGATACGCAGATCCGCGAGATCTTCGAGATTGAGCGGACGATTCGGAAGCTGAGGGAGGGAGGGTATCGGAGGGGGGCGCTGCAGTTTCCGGATGCGATGCTCCGGGATGCGGTCCGGGTTTTCGAACTCCTCGAGCTCGAGTGTACGAGGCTGGGTCCGCCTCAGCGCCAGACCGACTCGAATCAGCAGATAGAGGTGCGGGCCGGGGAGCTCCTGGAGACGAGTATCAACGCCCTATCTCTATCGAGTGCGGGAGCTGGGGGGTCAAAGGGAGCTTCGAGCGGTGCAGCGGATGGAGAGAGGGTGCGGTTTACGATTCTCGCGGATACGTCCTACGGCTCTTGCTGCGTCGACGAGATAGCCGCCGAGCACGTCTCCGCCGACGTGGTGGTGCACTATGGACGGTCGTGTCTGTCGCCTACTGCACGGCTGCCGGTGATCTACGTCTTTACTTCGCACCCGCTGCCTCTCCCGTCTCTGATACAGTCTTTTGAGAGCACCTTCCCGGAAAAGGGAGAGAAGGTGCTGTTGATGGCCGATGTAACATACCACGCTCACGTTCCAGCTATAAAAGAGGCACTTTTAGATAGAGGGTATACGGATATTGTAGCCCCGGAAGTGATACATGAGCCAGAGAGTGTCGTCCCAAATCGAAGGGTGGAAGAGGGGGTGAGGGAACGGCTGGGGGAGTACAGCCTCTTTCATGTTTCTGAACCGCCTCCTGCGCTGCTACTTACGCTTGCCTCGAGGGTAAAGGAGATGTACATCTATCCCACAGCACTCTCAAGATCCGAGTCGGTAGTCACACCAGAAGCTCTGAAGACACAGACGAACATGATATTGCGCCGTCGCTACGCCCTCCTCACACACCTCTCCACCGCACCTATCCTTGGCATTCTGATCAACACACTCTCCGTCTCGCACCATCTCGCCGCTCTCTCAACTATCAAGAAGTTGATAGAGAAAGCCGGGAAGAAAAGCTATACGTTTGTGGTGGGGAAAGTGAACGCCGCTAAATTGGCCAACTTCTCGGAGATCGGCGGATGGGTGGTTGTCGGGTGCTGGGAGAGCAGTCTGGTGGATGGCGAAGGCTTCTATAGGGGTGTCGTGACGCCGTTTGAGTTAGGGGTTGCATTGCAGGGGGAGCGGCGGGTGTGGGATGGGAGTTGGAGGGGAGATTTTGGCGCTATCGCCGGGACCGAAATCCCGGCTGTTGAACACGCGCAGGTCCAAGGGTCGGATGAAATCGAGTCCCAGGGTAGAGAGAACGGCGCGGGCGCCGACGCGGACGAGGGGGGTAGGGATGCGCACGGAGATGACGGAGATGATTCGGAGGAGGAATCCGAGCCTCCCGAGTTCGACCTCCGAACTGGCCGCTACATCTCGCATTCCCGACCCATGCGTCCCTCTCGCCAGACCTCCGCCCCGGTCCCAATCTCAACCCCGGCGGCCGCCCCGGGTGACGCTACTACAGAAACAGAAGCTTCGAACGTGTTGACGAGGAGAGCCAAGGGCGACCTTGCCACGATCAACGGGGCGGTGAGTCCAGGAGCGGAATATCTGCGCTCTCAGAGGACGTGGACGGGACTGGGAAGCGATTTCCTGGAGGGGGAGGACGCTCCGGAGGCCGGTATTGAAGAGGGGAGGGGTGGCGTCGCGAGGGGGTATAGGGTTGGTGGCGAGGGAGAGAGGAGATGATATTCATTACAGTGGATGATGTCGATTTTCGCTTTCAAATTTCGAAATTGGAGATGTGTGTGTGTGTGTGTGAAGGAGAGAGAGAGAAAAGAATAAATCAATGACTACCCCCCCAACTCCCCTAATTCGAATTGATAGGTTCTCCTGCTAGTCTTCGGGCTTGCTTGTATCATGTAGTAGTAGTAGTAGTAGTAGTTGAAAAAGGGCGCTTTTCTAGCCTCGATGTATTATTCATATATACGACGATCAGGACCAGAAACACCCAGCCCTACCTACTACAACTTCACCCTCCCGCCGTTCAGCTCCTGCCAGTCCGCCTGTCCGAATCTCACATAGGTGCCTCCCCTCAGCCACCACAGCTCGTCGCTCCCGACCTTGGCCGGATCGACGCCCTGACTCCGCACGACGTGCTTCTGCTGCTTGTTCGTGCCCGTGAGCTCCATCTGCTTGGTGACGCGCAAGAAGAGCGGCACCGCAAAGCCCGGCAGCCGCGTCGCCGCGTGCTCCGCCAGCTCGCGCATGATCCGCGGGCTCGGCGGCTGCCCCTCCGCCAGCACGATCGCCACGCAGCCCGCGCGGCCGTCGTGGTGCGGGATCTCGACGCCGTAGACGTTCGCCTCGGCGACGACGGGGTGCGTGCCCAGGGCTTCGGAGACCTCGCTCGTGGACACGTTCTCGGACTTCCAGCGGAAGGTGTCGCCGATGCGATCGCTGAAGAAGCAGCGGCCCTGCGCGTCGGCGGAGATCATGTCGCCCGTCCGGAACCAGGCGTCGCCCTTGGCCAGCACGTCGCGCAGGATCTTGCTGTCGGTGCTCCCGGCGTTGCCATAGTAGCCTTGGAACTTCCGCGTGATGTCCGCCGGGTCCAGCCTGTACAGTAGCTCGCCGGCCTGCCCTTTGTTGACTGGTCGGCAGAGACCGGTTGCAGGATCGCGCTTCGGCATCTCGGTCTCCCAGTCTAGTTCTACCATTACCTGAGTGCCACCCACGAGGAGGGACCCGAACGTGCCGATGCGGCCGATGGCACCCTTGGAGAAGTCGTTGCGCGAGTAGTTCCAAGCCCCCGACGTGCTCTCCGTCGCCGTGTAAAATTCGGCAATAGCCTCGATACCGAAGCGCTCCTTGAAACGGTTCCAGATGTCAGGGCGGAGGCCGTTGCCGAATGCTAGACGCACGTTGTTCTTCCGGTCCAGGTTCTCGCCTGTCCCGGGGTCAATCTGGGGAGGGGCGGAGAGGAGATAGCGGCAGGTTTCGCCAACGTATTGGATGGTTGTTGCGTGCGTGGCACGGACTTCTGGCCAGAAGGATTTGGTGGAGAATTTCTTGCCGAGGGAGAAGGTGGCGCCTACGCCGAGGCAAGTGCAGAAGCCTAGGACGGCGGCGGAGGAGTGGTAGAGGGGCATGCTCTGTTTGGATTATAACTTAGAAGCGTCGAGCGTGAGTTGAGAGATGAGAGGTCTGGCTTACCGTGTAGAAAATGTCGTCTTTGGTGAACGACATCCAGCCTGGCACCAAGCCACTCCCGACTATGATCTTGTTCCAGCTGACAATGGCACCTTTTGGAAGGCCCGTGGTACCGCTCGTGAAGATTACTATGGCCATGTTTTGGCTCTTGTCTTCAGTCCTTGCTGAGTCTGGCTCCCGCACACCATGGATAGTCGCTATCTGGACTTCTAGTTCGGGTGTGAGCACCTCAAAGTCTACATCGGAGAATTCATCTCGGACTTCCTGAGTGATATTGCCGCTTAGCTCCGGATGGACGATCAATAAACGAGCCTTCACAACCTTGATACAGTGCACTAACGCCTTGCCCGTCAAGTTGTAATTGATGAACGCCGGCTTCGCCCCGATAGCCCACAGGCCCATCCACAGAAAGATGAACTTCTCCGAGTTCATGAAATTCATCGCCACAATCTCCTTGGGCTTGATGTCGTACGTCGTCTTCAGCCACGTCCCGTACTTCAGCACGGTGACGTAGAGCTGCCCGTAGGTCCATTGTCGCCCTTCAAAGATGAGGGCTGGGTGGTTGGCCCTTTTTCCCAAAGCGTGACTTTCCAGGATGTAGAAGAGATTCAGCTTGTCGCTTCGCTCTCTGAAAAGGGCGCGGATCTGGGCTCCAGCAGCGCTGCTCAGGAGTCTCCAGTCATAGCCGAAGGATGTTCTGGCGTTGATGTAGGATAGTCCGGCCAAAGCCGCCGGGGCTGCGAGTGTCAAGGGACCTGTGGATTGTTAGTATCTCCTCATGAGACGGGAGTGCTTTGACTTGCTGACCGGGCATGCTGTTTCTCGTCGCCGCTAGCCTTGATTACTAAGTATCAAGAATATAATATGTACTTTGTCTCTGCGTTGGCACTTGAGCAATAATGTGAGAATTGTCAAGGGCTGTATGAGGAAGAAAGGAATCATAGAGCGAGGAGGTGAGAAGTATGAGAGGATGTCGTGTCAATAGCATAGGGCTACTTGTATATAATGTAATCGGCCTGAAACCAGTCCACGTTCTCGGGAAGATCCTGATATCTGATCATGGATTGATTGATATGCCTCGGTCCAGCTGAGACGGTCGCCGTCCCCGAAAGCCAAAAACTGCGGCGTTGCGATCTTGCATTATCCCAGCCGTGCCATAGGCCAGGACAACGCCAGCAACGCGGGGTAAGCCTTTAGGCTGTTGGGGCTGTTGGAAGGTATATGGTATATGGTTGAATCTATGTGTTGCAAGAAACAGTCAAACTTTCTTTGAGCTGTATGTAAATAAACAAACGACGCGTACATTTCGCCTCGCTTCAACACAAGGGAAAGTGAAAAAGCGGGTGAGCTAGAGGTTTACGATGACTAATACAAATACGAATACGAATAAGAATACTAATACGAATAAGGGGAACGACGACAAGGCTGAAAGTCGGCTCCCCTGAACTCGAACTCGAACTCGAACTCGGACCCTAACTCAGCCTTTCCGCCAAAATCGGCGTGAGCAACCCGCCCTGGCGCTACGACATCGAGATTGTTGACATCTGGCAGCGAAAACCCACAGCTCCACCATGTCAACCGCCTCACACCCTCTAGCCGATACTAAAGCTGGGCTGGAAGGCGATGGAGGTGCGAATTCCGACCTTGCGCCCGCCAACGCTGTGGGTGTTGCGCCCCGGAAGAAAGAAGCGCCCCCTGAGTCTGCAGAGAGCATACGGCTACGGATCTGGGTCATCGCGTCGTTTTGGGCGATCGTTATATTTGTGGGCTTGCCGATATGGTGGAAGACGACGATGATACACAGGGAAAATTTGCCGCTGGACCAGATGATGGACTGGGCGGATGGGAGGGTATGAGCTTTGGGACTATCAAGCTTCATTGCTGACAAGTGCAGGCATGTCGACCAGTATTTCCCCTACGGATTTCGGTAGAGGCGGATTCCCTGCAAGATCATGAGAAACAGCATCTTCTGCGGACGACGCAGCATGCGCTGGATGATTTGAACGACTTCTCGGCGCACCATCTGCGACTTCAACTTTCGCCCTCCATTGGTGTCAATGCGACTGTGGCTACGACAGGAGTTTCTACAGGCAGATCCGAGGAAGAGGTAGCTCTTACGATTCGAGTTGTCCCGGGTGCGGCGACACGAGCAGATCTACAGCCCTATTCTCCCGTACTAGACATTCACTACACGCCGAACCAGATACCATCCGTTTCTTCATCCTCATCCCCACTAGGCAGCTATATAGCAGACACTCTGAGAGGGCTGTTCGCAGAGGAACAGGGAATGATCGCCTACCTTCTATCCACGAGTTCTGCCCCTCCGGAACGCAGTCCCAAAGCATTGGCCCCTGAAATTGCGGAATCCCTTGCCAAATGGCGCACCCGCTCCATGAAATACTCGCGAACCTACCATCTAACATTCTCCCTCTTCACGCCCACCGCAATCCCCTCCTCTTGGGACATTGAAGCCGCGCTGGAAGAACACATGCAACCCCTTCTCGAAAGCTTGTCCTCCATTAGCAACTTCACAATCGATACCCAAGTCCAACTCTACGCCACGCCTGGCGTAAGCGGCTCCGTCCTCAAGAAAGAAGACCTCAGCGGCTTCATCAACGCTGCCGAATGGCCTTTGAGTCCTAGTATCGGCGGCGCGCCAACTGTGAATTTCATTGTGTACGTCGGCGACATGGAAGTCGAAGGTGGCGGCAAGAGCTGGCTGATCCCGCAGTGGGGAGGAGTGGTCATCCAGTCCGACATATCTGATCTCCGACCCGCCATGCTCATCTTTTCAAACCAGCTCATGTCCCTCCTCGGCGCTCCAGAGTCCGGGTCCCTCCCTGTCCGGCTCATGACACTCGTGCGCGTGCGTAGCGCTGGCTTGCTGTTGAAAGCCAGCGGTACCATGGGCAGTCTTGCCCGTCTTAGTCTCGCGTTACCTGGCATCTCTATCCCACGTAGTGTGGCAGACGGGGTATATACTACTATCGGACATCTGCGCAAAGCCTGCGATGGGTTGGGTGGGAAGGAGGGGCTGGAGAATGCGAGAATTGCAGAGGAGGCCGCTGAAAAGGCGTTCTTTGAGAAGAGTATGGTGGGTCAGGTGTACTTTCCTGACGAGCACAAGGTCGCGGTCTACTTGCCGCTGCTTGGGCCGGTGGCCGTACCGTTGGTGATGGGGGCTATGAAGGAGCTGAAAGCGTGGAGTAAACGGAGACGGGGGAGTAGGTGATACCGGTTTAAATTTAAATTCGTTTTGCATCGATGATTGCGTCCCCGTTTCGCTGGATCTGGTGCAGTCGAAGTAGTTCTCCCAAATGCTGAGGAGCCGAATGTCATTTTTGGACATGAAGGCTTTCTCAATGTCCCCGGTGATTAGGGGCATTCAGTGTGATATGCGAACAAACATGCGGACCGAGAAAGGGTAGTTGGGGGGGGGGGGTAATTTTCCGAAAAAGGAAAAGCGAATGACCGAAATTCTCTATATCTTTTCATACGATAATAAATTTGGGCAACCTCGCCCATCAGCAGACATATAACGCCGAAGCCGCTTTGATGCACCAGATCTGGTGGGTAGTCCAGACACGGCAATGCAAGGCACGGTCTTCGCGGTCGATCGATTGCGAAGTGGAAGGACTTCTGGCAGTATGTGTGGTATGGGAAATTGGCTTCGGGTTACGAGCACTATGGAGAAGCGTTAGATGTCTTGTAGGAAAGCTTTGACTTTTCGATCTTACCGCGATCTAGTATTTCGATGTACCCTCGGATATAAGAGAGAAAAAAAATTGATTAGTATCTTGCATCATTAGCATATTTCCATTATTGGAGATGAAAAGCACGGCATTGAGGCGTATTTAGATGTCCACTCTGGCGAGATGTCCATATTAGCATGACAATATATCTGTTCAGATATCGGCCGAGACAGATCTCCATTATCTTGTTTATTACTCATTTATGTCCAAATATGAAAAACCCCTGACCTCTGGACTGCTGAACCCATCAAACTTAAGTATTACTTCGACCTGCCAAAACGTCAACTCATCGTCATCGAGTCCCGCGAACTTCCTCCCCATCCACTCGCGACCTTTCCCCACCCCCTCACAAATCGATCTCATACATCCTGTAACGTCCGCTCCGAACCGCTGGTCCGAGCTAAAGCATAATCCACTAGTCAGGTCACAGTTCGTTCCTTTGCTCGTCTGATTATACTATACTATTGCATAGCCACAGAATCACGGACAAACGCACGCACGCATAGCCGATGCGAAGTGCTCTTGACCTGTCCAACGACAGCGGGAGATAGGGTCTTCTTGGCCTCAGTGAGATCTACCATGGAAAACAAATCTAAACATGCACCTGGCTACTAGACGCGTTCTAAACTCTTGCTTCGACATCTTAGAGGGAGAAACGGTTGTTACCAGTCCGGTTCAAGCCTCACGGCGCTGAATCGAATCAATTTCTCCATCTATATAATGGCTCCGTGGCCAAAGTATTGGTCTCTAAACTCTCTCCCGAAATTTACCACTTTTTACTTCCGAACTTCTACCTCCCGCAGATTTTTCTTTTTCATTTGGTTGATATAGAGTGCTACACTGACGTCTTCCATCAATTGGCGGAGGAGTGGGGATATGCTTGAGCGGCTAGGCTGCTTGGACTAGAATCCCCACTTTGCCCCAGTTGGTGCAGATTCGAATATCGGAAAACCCATTCAATTATATTTGTAAATTGGAACGTCATGGAGTTTCCAGTTGAGTTTTGCACTTTAAGGCAATTGTTTGGGGCAAGTTTTTGACAACTATTTTTGTTGCTCTTGTTGTCCTGCCTGCGGGGGCTGGCTCGCTTACTAGAGCCATAACATCAAGATCTAGCACTACCTACTTACCTTTCCGTCATCTGTGTATCTAACCCGGGGTCGAAAGATATGTCTTGCTTAGAAAATGATGGCAGCAGGACTGAGCTAGGACTGCGAGCCTCGAATACTCTCCAAGTGATTATAAAAGGTATGGCCCGAGGGTCAGCTAGATCTGATACCCACAGTCTGGTGGACACGTCGACACGTGACCAGAAAGGGGTATTCGCTTATAGGCAGGAGCGACAAAAACATGGACGACGTTGAGGCTTTGATTGACAAGATCTGAAAAATTTGAAACTTCCTTACCCTCGAATTCTGCTCAAGGCTAGAGTCCCAAGTAGGTATCAGTCCATGATCGTCACCTCCCTCAGTCGTCTCATCGCCGCGTCGTGGATGGATGTCGTTCACCGGATGATTGAGCGGACAGGAAAAAGAACCCGGGACTCGACTCTCTTGTGGTCGCTCGTACCTTGGGGGGCTGGGAGTTCCAGACTTCGCGAATGAGGTTCATAAGCGGGTAGGATAGCGGGAGGACCAAGGGGCTGAAGGGGGGATGAAACAGTCTGGGAACACGCACAGACGGGGCACAGATGGAATCTTCTCTAGTGAAGATCAAGCAATGGCTTTTATTAATGTACCCAAGCTTTTGATTGCCATGCAAATCATCAAGAGTTGAGCTCGCTTAGGAAATGGTATTGAAGCTTGGACATCTCAGAACTTATAGCAGCCCTCTCTTTGCGTTGCGTTAAACAGGTATCTCGAGCAGAAGAAGGCACAACTGAAGGCGAATATCGATTCCCATTGCGTCCGTCCGCTGGTTCTCTTGGGCCCGAAATCGTGGGATCTTACCTTTACTTCTTCAGAGTTGGACTTCTTGCAAGCTTGTCGCAGTTTTGCCACATCTGCGCTAATAAACGCCCGCTCCGGTCAGACACCCGTAAGAAGCACAACCCACAGACATCTGAAGTCTGTTGATTGCTTCCGCAGAAGCATATCACCCGTCCCTCCAGTACAATCAGGTCTCTTACACAGATCGTAGGTGAATACCTCAGCCGTCCAACCGCCATTAGCTCCAAGCTCCCTAAACAGGGCCCACAGCTGCCTCTTATATACGGTCTCCCCGGATTTCAACCTCGTTTTGTAATATATGGATAGAGAAATTGTCTCTCTTGAATCCATCTCAGACTCGAGAAAAATCAGCAGTTTCCAATGGAGCATATTCAGCAGTTTTCAATGGAGCATATTCGGCCGACCACGAATCTGGACCCGCTCCCCCCGGACATCCGCAACGGGATGATCGCGATGGGCATATTCGGGGTCCTGTCGACTGTGTCCACCTTCTCTCTCATGGCCATCATCACCCACCGCATGATCTACTGGCGCCGGTACTTCGACCAACCGATCGCCACGAACCAGATCTTCGTCCTCATCTACAACCTCCTCCTGGCCGATTTCCAGCAGGCGCTCAGCTTCGTTATCTCGTTCCACTGGTTGGCCCAGAACAAGCTCGTCGACTCGTCCCCCGCCTGCTTCGCCCAGGGCTGGCTCGTGCAGATCGGGGACGTCGCGTCGGGACTCTGGGTGCTTGCCATTGCCGTGCACACGTTCATCAACATCGTGGGGAGGAGGGCTGTCAAATACCGGACTTTTGTGATCGCCGTGGTCCTGGTGTGGATGTTCAGCTTGTTCCTGACCGTCATTGGTCCAGTCAAAAGCAAGGATGAGTTCTTTGTGCCTGCAGGAGCTTGGGTGAGTGGAACTGACTCTCATCTGGTCCATATATATATATAAAGTCGTCCCGTTACTAATGGGCAAGTAGTGCTGGATGAACGAAACACACAGGATGGAGCGGTTGTATCTCCACTACATCTGGATCTTCATCTCGCAGCTGGGATCATTCGTCATCTACATCTCCATCTTCTTCTTCCTCCTTCGAAACAGCTTCGCCGTCTCCAGCAAAAAATCCCAAGAGCCCGCCGTCCTCACCCTTACATCCCCTACCGATTCTCGCACCAGCCCCTTCAAAGAGAGTCCCACGACGACGACGACGATCATGTCAACCGGGCGCGAACAGTTCCTCGCATCCCGAACCCGAATCCTCAAGATCGCGAGCTACATGGTCGTCTACCCCTTCGCCTACGTCTTCCTCACCCTGCCTCTCGCCACCGCGCGAATCGCGTCCATGGTCGGCAGACCGCCGCCGCTGGTGTTCTTCCCCGTCTTCGGCGCGTTGATGGCGAGCTGCGGGTTCATAGACGTCATCCTGTATCTCACGACGCGCAAGGCACTCATTCACAGCAGCGTCGGCCCCAAACACCAGAGCAGCAGCAGCAATAGTCCTCCCCGAGCCCAGAACAGCGAGTCGAGGAGCGCGCTGCGCGCTCAGTCTCTTTGGCTGGGCGATATGGAGGATGGAGCCGGCCGGGACGTGGAAAGTGTGCTGTCCGCCACCACCAACGGTGAGCCGATGGACGGCGCCATCTTCGTGTCCAGATCCGTGGTCACGCGATCCCATGTCGCGTATCTGGATAAAGACTTGCCGAGCACGCCTGGGACGTTACCGCCGAGGCCGGATTCCGTGCAGAGTACTCTGGTGGCAAGCAAGGACGCTACAGTTAGTCACGGCTCGCAAAAATGGTCGAGGTGATCTAGTGCTCCAACGGATGGGTGCCATTGTTTGTTAGCGTTTGCTTATTTTGTTGTTGGAACCCGACATGCATGATACCCCATATTCCAGTTTACTATACCTTTCATATAATAATAACAATAATATAACAACATTACTAAACAGTGTACATGCACCTCCCTACCTAGCGTTCGTTGTCATTCTCCAACGTTCGTTCCAGCCAGGTACTGATCTGATTGTATCTTCTTAATGAAATAAAATCGTCCACACTATCCTCACTTCTTGCTCAGCGAACAACAAATCCCTCCAAAGCTTGCAAGCATAGCTAGTAATCCTTATCCAAAATCTGCAAGTCGCCTTCCCCGCGAACATAAACGCGAGATGATAGAAGCTGAATGTATCGGCATATATGCTTACATACATACGTACTCTACACCAAGTATTTCGCTCAAAGATGTATATGTGAACAAGTAAATCAAAACACCTCCTTCCCTCTCCTCTCCTCTCCTCTCCTCTCCTCTCCTCTCCTCTCCTCTCCAAATACCTACCCACACTCCCATCCATTGTAGATGATAACCCACCTCCACTACCTATTAGTGCAGAGAGGCGCTTGAAATACACTTGTCTCGGTTTTTTTTTAAATATATAGGCAGGCAGGCGAGCATGGCAGATTTTAGGTCAAAAGATTTCGCACCTTGTTGATATACCGGAATAGTTTGTTGGCACGGCAGTTCTGCCAGCAGGCGGGATGGGATGTCTTTTGCTCAGTAGGCAGAGAGAGAGAGGGTCGTCTTCAGGATAAACTGGTTATTGAAACGCCGAAAATAATAGATGTATTCGATAGCGTTTTTGGTTCTCAGAACAAATAGCGTATTTCTATCTATGTGCGGGCTTCTTCCGATGTCTTTTTTGGGGGGTGGGCAGAGGGGGCGGTTCTTTTTAGAATTATACGTGGCGAAATTCGAAATTTTCGCTTTCTATTATTTGTTTTTGCAAGGGTTTCTTTTTTCCTTTCGAGAAGCTGCACTCCAGATAGGGTTTGGAGAGTTGGGCAAAAGTGACCTCGCCGTACTTGGAAGAGAGTTGAGGCTGTTCTTGCTCGTTGTTATTGCGGAGGTCGGTGGCATCAACGAATGTGAATGCGTACATGAGTGAGGCAGTGATGGAATGTTTTGTGTGACTTTGAAGTTCGCAGCGGCTCCTCCTGTCAACAATCAGATCAGAGGCAGTAGCGTGCAGCAACTTGCAGTAAGGACCATCTACGCCTTTACGTGAAATTCAAATAACAGTAATTACTTGTGTGCGGAGGACAATGTGTTCCTTTCACGGAGACTTCTTGAGCACCTGTTCATCTAGTCAACAAAATTTCAGCTGTTGAAGAAGAGATGGCGCAGTGATATTCAGAACTTTGACTAGATATAGGAAATGGAGTTTCTAGGGGTCACGTTCTGATCAGTGTCTGGTCGTATATAGTGATTTGCAAGCTCTTCACCCTTAGTCTGGGGATCTACGAGCAGAGATGCTCTAATCTATCGCATAGAAATGACCACCGATAACTCGGATAGATGCTCCGTTGCTCCGGTGCATGCTTTGCAATTCAGCTTTCGAGCACATCTCTGCATCAATGGGAGACGCTCTCTTTCAAAGGTACCCGTGGAGAAGGATAAACCTATTATCGTTGAGAGAATGCAGACCACACCCTGTACCAGACTCCCTAGCTTCGACGTTCAAAACGGCCGATAGAGTTAGGATCGTGTTGTGCAGAAGCAGACCTGCAATGCACATTGCAGTTTCCAGTAATATAACCCTACACCGCACGGCAGATCGCAACGCGTGTCGCAGATTGCCTCAATGGCGATTCAAAAACATCTCCCGGGAAGAGGAATCATCTTTTCCTTACACACGGTTACAAATAGGACTTTGCCACGGCTTAACAGATAGAGGGATGCGTTCGCTTGCCTTATACTCGGAAGAAGGATTACCGGACTAACCTCGGCGGCAAGACTCCACTGCCGCTGGTAAGATATGTTTCCAAAGTCGACTCCCTTCTTCAATATCTGGCAACCGGAGAATGCTATATTGGACTTACTGCCCCATCGAGTAGAAGTGATTGTGTTTTCGGAATTGAGAAGCAGTACCCAGACACTAAGCATCATGGCTTCCGCTTCTCGAATCCCGAACATGAGGGCCCAAATTCGCGATAGAATGGTATCGTAAGTCGCGACACTTGGTCCAGCAAGAGCAAAGACCATCCACGGGCATTTCGTCGCGGTCATGCAAACCGCAAGCATGGCTATCTGAAGAAGTATTTTCTTGAACCGAATCAAAGCGGTGTTAAAGTCGTAAGTCGTTGGACGTTTTGTAAACCACTCGCTTTTCTCTGACGCTGTCGTACGGATGAAAAGATACTCGTGACTAGTCATCGGGGTCCATCATCGAGAGAGTGAGTAGCTTCGAGAGATCCGCTCGGGCATTGCTCTGGGCTTGATGGCTCGTGGTTTTCGTCGACTTGTATCAATACGGGGAATGGCTGATGGTGATAGCCATCCACCCAGACCAAGAGCAGATAAGCCAGGCGCAATCACCTGTATCCTCGCGATTCTCGTCTTGGATTTATCACTGTCAATAGGGTACCGCCGCGGAAACAGTAGGCGGCGACAGTATTCGTCTCTGGGTTTGAGCAGCATCGATCGAACAAGAAGACACCTGAGCAAGAGCCAGTGTTCCTGATGTCGCTCCCTCTCAGCCGGCAAGCGAAGAGGACTTGTTCCCGCCATCGCAGGACCCTTCGCATTCGGCATGAGTTGGAATTGTGGGTCCTTGTGATTATTACCCTTGTGGTATAGTTGAATGGCACGTGACTAGCATTGCACGGGACACGTTTAATTTGACGACATACTCGGAGAAATACCGTGGAAAAAATGCATTCGGCCTCAATCAATGGAAAAAATATAGCAGACAAAATGGCATCAGGAGCCCATCCATCGCTGCCTAATGAGCTCTGGATCCAGGTCCTCGAGAATCTAGCTGCAGACCAAGATGATGATCTTCCGACGCTGTAGTATAGCTGCCCGCAGGTCAATACAGCATTCAAAGAAGCAGCCGAGTCCATAGTCCGCGAGACACAATTGCCAGAATTTTTGCTATACTTCGAGCTAGGTGCGTGTATGGTGTCGGGGAGTTCTGGTTGGAAGCTAAATAAGAAGTAGGAGACGGTGATGTACAAGATCATTTCAGATTAGAATTCTCCAAACTCTCCAAAGACGGAGTCACTGCCACATTTACACTCGACAGTTAAGACCAAGACCACCCTGCGAAACACGTGAAATCGAGATTTGTAAATCTACGTGCTCATCTGATGAAGGAAGAGAAAACATCGAGGGCCCTCCTCATTTAGTAGTCATCGATCGGGCTGTGAACGATGGCCCAATACCAGGCCTATCCGTGAACTACAAGGACTTCGAATTGAGCTGCAACTGGCAGAAGCTATTTGTTTCTTTCTATGCCGAGGAGTTCCTCTATCGTGCCATCATGCCAAGAACACGGGAGAAGCGGAAGCCACTCTTAGCAGACGTGCAAGTGAAGGCCGCAAGAAGAGAGGTTTGTCCTCGCTATCTGACGACGAAGGAGATTAGAAAGTTTGTAAAGGATTCTCAAACTGCCAGAAAGATGGCCCGCAGGGCTCGTATACGGGGGCAGTTCAAGGAATACTATGGTACAGAATGGGACTTTGATCGTGATGGAGACCCAGCTGTGGAAAAGAAGTGCCTTATAATTATCGAGAACATGAGGCATCCGGCCTACATCGAGGATTCGAGTGACGATGCAATCTAGACCGCAGACAACGGGGAGGAGGACGAAGACGAACAAGATGAGTGGGAGACCACCGACAGTGATGACGCGGACTACTAGGTGGTCTTGACATGGAAGAAGCGGACACCCATTTACGGTTCAACGGCCGGTTCAACGGATTCCTCTTAAGACCAATACCAAGGACATATAATCCTAGCGGATACGGAGTTGACGGGACATATGTGGTATAGACATGTTCTACTTTCACCCAGGATCTCGGCGAACCTAATGAAGGTAGCCCTGGGCGATGAAATACCGAGTCTCGGGAAGTAAAGCAATATCTTTCCATCTCCTAATTCAAATATCCAATATCATCCGATTCTCTCCTTCCGGTAACCAGTATTGATATAAATTTTAGGCGTTATTCGAGATCTATCAGAGACGTTCTCCTCTCGGACGCTTGTGTTGCCTCCCCTGCCTTATCCTGCCGAACTGGGTCTACAGGATATTCTCATCGGGATCACATACTCTTCCTTGGGCTGAATCGACGTCTACATGACTGTTTCACAGTCGCTTTCGGCCGCGAAGGCGTAAGCATCGTCAAGAAGTCTGGCAGCGAAGTCACCATAGTAAAGGAACCGGTAGAGGACCTCCTTAAAGTATGCGCACTTCCCTATCAATCTATCCCCTATGGCTACTGACTAGCAGGATTTCCAGTCAAGATCATTGCTAATAGACATCAGAGGGCAAGAAATCTACTGCTATAAAAGATACATCTTTAGCGAAAGCGACTCCGATCTCGGAACCTTTAGCGGATATTATATACTTATGAAATATCTATCTCGAACTGATTGGATATCAGCATTGAAAACTATATCTACAAGATTCCCGACCCAACTCCTTCTAAGTCCGTAGGGCCCCGATTTATTGTGCAGACATTGGTAGCACAGTCTGCAACGCCATCGTCTCTGCCAAGTGCAGCGAAAGAGCAGTTATCCTCTTCGATATTAGTGGTTTCGCATGTTTCGTCATTCAATTCTCTTCCAGGTTGGAAGATGAGACCATTGTTTCCTTCCCACAAACAGGAGCAAGGGTCCTGTAAGGCTGCTGAGATTTGTCTGCAGGGCTAGCCCGGATATAACTACCAAGCCAGATAGTATAAAGTATATATTCCTATTTCAAATCGATGCCGATGGGCGATATTCATATGCTGACCTAGTGTCGTGCAAAGGAATGCCATCCTACGAGGAGGATGAGGAGAAGTGTTACGCTCTCTGACCATTAATTCTGCATTGAGATCCCGTCAGTCTCGTTCCCTCTTCCCTACTCTTTTCCCTTCCCTCTCGTCTCATTTCATTAGGGTAAGGCTTACCTTGCCATAGGAAATTATCTTTTTCCTTCGAACCTATTGCTTCGAACCTCCCTTGGTAGCCCCTGAAATTCATTCACGGCTCGACACAATACCAGAATCGAGACCTCTGAATACAGCGGGAAGGGCTACAAGAAGACGAAGATGAGGTCCAGAGATGTTTTCGTTGCTACGCAATCATTTGCTTCTTTGTTTCCGTGCTGATTGCTTCGCCTGAAATGATCTGTAACAAAGTCAAGCAATTGAGCGTTTGTTAGCTTGCTTCAATTGCAATATTTCTTTGCTTGCTTCATGTTCTTACAATGGTTATAATTGGGACATCCGCACTCTTCCAGCTCGTGAAATTGCTTCGTCTTATAATGTCCTGCAACGTAAAGTAGTGTCTGTTTATATCTTCTCCGCGGTAGTGCACTGCTTGACATACACCTCTAGGAGGGAGAGAGACAAGCTATAATAGAACATGCAGGCGTTACTAGTAGGCTTGGAACAACAAACAAGTTCAACTTCACTCGTCTGTGCATTTAGATCTAGAAGCCTTTCGAAGACTGGGGAGTAGTCACCTTACCGACCAACCAAGACTGAGTCTGTCGCGCCACGTGGAGTGAATGAGTAAATAACGTGACGCGCTTAGCGTCGATCTTAGTTCTCAACTTCCTATTTCAACTCACCTCGCTCTCCGACAACCTCTCGACCTCCCAAACTACAACACAAACTGCAACCCATCCCACAACACATCCATCCTACATACAAGACTACATTATGAATTCGCTCAGCAACATCCAACGCAGTCCCCGCACGGGGAATACCGAGTTCGAGGAGAGCGCTGCCACCAGTATGCAACACCATCCATCCTCCTTACCTGAATACAAACACAAGTACAACCTGCTAACCACCAGTAACCAGCCGTGGTCGACCCGGCTCTTGCTACCGCTCCAGCGGTCCCCGTCGACCAGGTCGCCCCCGCCGTCCCCGCCGTCCCTGCCGCCTCCCCTGCCGGTCCGACCACCACCACCACCACCACTCGCTTCCGCACCCCCCGTCCCTCCCGCCCCAACCGCCAGCCGCGCTCCCTCCTTAGCCAGCGCTTCGGCTCCCCCACCCGCGGCAGCAGCAGCAGCACCACCACCACCAACGCCGACAACACCACCACCACCACCACCGACGGAGACCGGGAGATGATCACCAGCCTCCTCGCCGCCGCCGGCCCATTCGCCCGCATCTGCCCCATCTCCCTCCAGCGCGCGGGCCTGGGCCCCCACCACCTCGCCTGTCCCCTTCGCAACTGCACTCTGCAGCAGCTCTGCGATACGCACCCCGCCGACCTCCCGCTGCACATGTACCACGGCTGCCAGCTCGCCCACGTCAAGGCCACCTGCCTCGCCAGCGTCCAGGCCGCGCACGTGACGGAGCCGCGGCTCCTCCACCGCGAACGCTACATCCACTGCGAGGATACGGATCCGTTGGGCGGTGAGTGGATGATGCGACGAGCGGCCGCCGAACTGACAGAGCTGCACGCGCGTGGAGAGGTGGGTGTTCAGACCTAGGAAGGCGGAGAAGGAAGAGAGGGGAGGAAGGGAGTGAAGTCAAAAGTGAAGTCAGGATAAGGGCTCACAATAGATAGAGATAGAGATTCTATTCCGTGCGCTGTATACCTCTAATGGATACCTCTACCCTTCCACATGCTACATGATCCATGATACGTGATATACCCCCGTGATAATACTCTTTTCGCAAGATAAAACTCGAATTCAATAGCGAACTCACTCTCCATCTAAACTCCACCTCAGGCTTCCCGGATTTTCTTTCACCTTTAACAAGGTTTACAAACCCTCACCTTCAAAGAAGTTTACACACCCTCACCTTGAAGATAGCCTCCCTTCTCCCTCCTGTTCCTGTTCATATTACAACCACAACCACAACCACAGCAAGAGAGTCCAAGTAGAGAAAGAGAGGCTTGATCCATCCACTCATCGTCTCGTATCCCTCTCATATCCCATGTAATCATTCATCAATCGTGGCCCTTCCTCCCTCCCTGGCCGCCCTCCCCCCCCTTCCTCTTCGACCAGACCATGAACCAACCCAACCCCCGCGATCGATCTATCTAGCAGTCCCTCAGAAAGCAGCAGCAGAAGCCAGGTATAAATCTTGGCAGAGCGCGAGAATCTACATGCGAAGAAAAAAAACCCCCCCTCTCCCTCCGCCGCCTCAAAGACGAATATACAGCCCGCAAAGCTTCCAAAGCACCCCCTCTGAACGACTCTCATCTCAGCACGGCGTAAGCCAAGCAGAGAGCGGCGATAGCCAGCACCAGTCGCTGCACCGCTCTGCTTCCCTGCAGGGTATCAACCCAGGCGTAAAAAGCCGGGACGCCGAACTTGACGCCTTGCATGTAGACCTTGGCGCCGTCGGCAAAGAAGCAGCAGCATCCTCCGTCGCCGTCGCAGTCGTCGTGGTCGTCGTTATTATTGTTGTTGTTGCTGTTCCTGGCAGGTGCTGGGAGGGGCTTGCGGCCACCTCGGAGGGTTGAGGGGGCGTATTCCCAGGCGTCGGCATGGCGCGGGTACATGAAGAGGGAGACGAAGACCGGGACAAAGATGCGACTGATGGGGTTCAAAGGCGGATAGGCATGGATCTTGCCGTCGATGAGGAAGTGGGAGTCTTGCGCGCTGAGGACAAAGGGGGCAATCCTGTTGTTTGTTGACGTGGTTAGCATTCGTGTTCTCTCTTCTTCACTGTCTGTCCCTCCCTACCTTAATGAGGATGTGATTGGAAGTGGTAAAAGAAAGGAGAGAGAGAGAAGAACTTGCTTGAATACATCACTTTGTCGTTCGGCCTCGCTTCTCATCTCCATGTCGATGGTCTTCAAGGTGTCGCTGTCAATGACCTTGCCCAAGGACAGGATCGTTCCAATTTCCTCGTGCTGGTGCTTCTCGTAGGCCTCTTTAAATCCATCGATGACACGTCGCAGCCCCTCCCCTGAAAAACTCTCCTTGTGGGTGACCTCTGCGTAGCGGCGAAATGCCTCGAGACCCTTTTCCATCAAAAGGTGCTGGGAGACGTTCTCTTGCATCAGGCTCTTGGTTGACGCGGCCTCGATCGCCGGGAAGTACACATGTTCCTCTACGAGCTGGTGGTGGTGCATGAAGTCATACGTCGTGGAGCAATATGATAGCAGAGACGAAGCAGCCGAGGTTGCAGGCCTAACATTATACGAGTGTGCGTAGATAGCGTTGAGAGCGCGGAAGATCGTGTTATGCGTCTGAGCCATGAAGCGCGCAGCCTCTACGCAGTGGTGACCTTTAGGAACCGAAGGGTCGGTGAGAACGCCAGTGCTAGTAATTAGCTTGAATGGAGTTTCGGGCCTATCACACGAGTATTAGCATTGATTGCATCATATGATTGGAGGTATAAGGAGGCAGTATGGGCTTACCATGCTGGAATTGCTCCAGTCTTGACTGCTCCATGATTTTCTGGAAGAAGGTAATGAGCTACGGAACCTTTAATTGCCTCTATCTGGTTCACATAAGGCTGGTCTTTCCAAGGAGTAAAGCCGAGCATACTCTTGGCCTTCTCAATGGAATATGTTCTGGTGTAAAGTACAAACTCCATACGCTCTACAAGCAAAGCCTTCGGTCGAAGCTTGCCTTTTGAGGTGGCCCAGACGAACCACTCGGCAAAGTGCGCCATCGCCATAACGATGTGTGGAGGGATGTAAATAATTCCCTCAAAAGGTCGCTCATGTCCTGCAGTTGCCCAGAACATTCGGAAGAAATCAAGTGGGTGGTGAGGTTCGTCGTCGGTAATGTTGTATGCCTGGCCTGAGATCTTGATAGCCTTGGGGTCTGACATCTCAGCAAGCATGCCCTTGGCAGCAAGCAAGTGAGCGATAGCTACGTGTCCGACGTAAACCACATCCCTAAGAGGCGCAGTAATTTAGCAGGTGGTTGCGATTATATTCCTCAGGAGCAGGTGCTGGAGGAAATGCATTGTGGGGGAATAGGCGCTGTCTGATTCAACTTACATCTCCGCGTCGTTGTATCCCGTCCACATACCCGTGTATCCATCCTCAAGAGCTTGAATGACCGGTCCGACCATCTGGCCATCTCCCTCGCCATACAAGGCGGTTGGACGAATAGTGCAAGTCAATATCCCACCCTTCCCATTAGCTTGGAGGACTATCTTGTCAGCCAGAGCTTTGGCAATGTGGTATGGATCGCCTCTGATGAGCCGAGGCACTGCTAACGTAGGAGCGTTCTCATCAGCATGGTCATATCCACCACCTGGGCTGGCAACGATCGGGGCTGAAGAGGTGTAGATATACAGCTTAACGGTACCAATCTCTCTAGCAGCGAGGAGTAGGTTTTGATTGCCGTTTATATTGACGCGGAAAATGTCTGGAACACTCTCATGGTCTTTGTAAGCGTGTGGTGATGCGGTGTTAATAATGGTCTTTGGCTTGACCTTGCGCATGACATGCCGGACGTGCTGGATGTTGGTGATATCCCCTATGAGATAGTTGACGCCATCTTGGAGATTTTTGAAGGGAGATCGGCACATAACTGTGACAGAAGTGCAAGCTGGGTCATTGTCACAGAAACGGACGATGTGGTGGCCTAAAAATCCACACCCGCCGATGATAAGGACATCACCTAAGCTACCATCAGACAATGATGGCCATTTTCCCATGGAACGCATGCTGGTAAGCGTGTTGGAGAGGCTGGAGGAAGTGGTTGGTGAGGAGGCACCGCTCGCTAAGCCGATCTGGTCTTTGACAGCTTCCATGTTTTTGGTGTGCGTCGAGAACCATACAGGCAAGGGGGATCTACCGGGAAATATATGATGGGCGGAGAGAATAGAGCCTCGGAGATATTCAGGTTGAATAGAGGTAGATGGAGAGTCGCTTCGCTGTAGCTTGCAAGTGATTAAAATTTTGGAAGAGGGGGGCAGATCAACCGTATGCACTTATGTAGAGAATCTGAGTGGGCCTATGAAAGAACCTAGTAGATAAAAGAATATGGTTAGGGGAAGGATACCAACATATGGCAAGAGTGTTTGGGGACAATCAATCGAGCTTCTTCCTGTCCGAATAGATAATTTGACTTACTGACTCAATCTGGGAATCAGATAAAAGCGCCTAGAGGGTTGGAAACAACTTCCTCCCAGTATAGCCTCTCAATGCTTCCACCGTTGAAGTATCTGAAGGTCCTTGACCTTGCTTTGGTAACGCAGATTGCATCGCCGACGATGGGTAGTACACGAGCTGCAGTATTCTGCATTTCTGTCACATCCAGGGTTCCCGTTGAATTCGGTGTTACGGAGTGCAGACCTAGATTGGTGCTCCAGGGAAAGAATTCTCGATCATGCAGCAGTTGGGGATGGTTCGGTCCCTACCACAGCATGGAAACCTAGTACTTTATTGAGGTTTTACGTTGTACAGAGTAGCAAAGCTGACATCTCCCAGGATAGTACCCGCCATAGTCTAGTCGGACGACCTTTCTAGCTGCTATCCCATGTCTTGCACGAGCTGGTGAGACCGTGTGAAGTCTCGATACCAATCATCAGAAGATTTTCGTCTATCAGGGGCCCAACTGGTCAGGATGAGTAATTTATGTAGAAGTCGGTCCATATCCCAAATCATAGGCTCTTAAAACTTGAGAGAATGACATCGAGCTACCTTGATAGTATGACAAACGGAACGTCAAATGTCATACGGAAGCTAGGCCTGACGGGTATACATGGCAGAGATGCGAGGCACAGAAAGGGAACATTCTATGGATGGCGTTTGAAATATTCGGCTATACTTGCGCATAACATACCAGGAGAGTTCATGCAAATTCTGGTTCCTCCGGTCCCGGAAGACCAATACCGGCGGATTATGTCTTGGCTAGGCCTGTTGCGGATTCGGGTGCTTGAATGCCGGAAACTCGTATTGTAGAGGAGCAAGAAGAGTATCAGAGATGCCGGGACCATACACATTTGCCCTCGCTACTACGCAATGGGGACCGGCACCTGTTGGGTGGTCTTGCGCCCCCCAAGTCCCAAGCTGAACGACTATTTGCAGCTGCAATTAGATCCTCTGTTAGGCACATTCTAAAAAGTCTGTCCATATTGAACGACACTGAAGATTGTCACACCTATCCGAGCTGCAAACGGATTTTATGGAGCCCGGAGACTCAAAAGCTGGAGAGTTTGTCCCGACCCAGGAACCGGGCTTGAGGTATTCAAGATCCTGGTAGTTGATGTGTCGAAGCGGGGAAGTTTTGGCTCCATTCCGAGAGCTAAGCATGGGATGTGTCAGAAGTTGTTGGTAGGTCGATTCTCAAGGCTGGAGAGTTTTGGCCGGACCTCTCCTACAAGCCAGCCATGAGATATATATCGCATTCCGTTTTTCAGCCTCTGGGAATCGTAGCATCAATGCCAGATAAGGAAGGCCCAGATATCAGTTGTTTCCAGAAAGCATTATGTTTGTGTCTGAAGACTCCTTAACCTCACTTAGACTGAAGGTTTGCGTGCTTTCTGTTGGTATTGCCTTTGGCTTAGTGGTGACCAAACGGCTACCCCATTGCTTCAACGTTCTTGTTAAAGAACGTTGAAAGAGGTCAATACCTATCCCCGCATACTCTGCATTCTCAAAAAGCCCTCCCCACGCTGTCTCTCCTCCTCTTTTGTTTGCCACAAGCGCTCTGAAGCCTCAGCAAGCATCCGCACCTGTTCAAAGGACGGTAAGGACGATCAAGGACGGTGAAGGACCCCTCCTTTGAGTCCCTTTGCAGCCTGCCATCTACCTCTTACCGCGTATTAAGGTGGAGAGTCTCCTGTCTTGCATTAATCCGCACTGTCGTTTGAATGAGCGGAAGTTTGAAATGTAAAAGATATCCAGGCACAAGATGTCGTCGGTTTGGTCTTCGCTTATGTACGCAAGGAAAATCACATCACTAGGGTCCCTAGCAGATCCACACCAGCCCAGCCCCTGAAGATCCCCAGCTAACGGCCTGAACCGTCGCCGCTGCTGGCTAGCCAGGACTAGGTCAGTAGTGACGGGGAGCTAGCTACCTATTAGTAAGATGCGGTTGTAGTGACACTCAAACGGTTATCTATCTCTCAACTCCCAACCCGCTGCCAGAAGCTCTCAAACCCGTAAATAAGTGTAACCTTAATCTTAATCAGGCTATCACCTATGAATGAGTTGGTTCTCTTCATGATTTACTACTATATCTCTTGGCCAAAGCATTGGCGACTGTAGAACCCGCGAGCTCAGGTCCGCGCAGAGTAATAATAGGCGACCACCAACCCAGCCCAGGCCATCTTCCAGCCAATGTTTTCCTTTCCGGGGTACCAGGACAAGGGGTAGGGGGACCAAAAGACGGGACCAGCTGGGTACAAACGCGGAAGCCAGGCAAGCTGCCATGGCATCTCGGGAAGATGCATACATTCATCTATATACCTCGCATGATACCGATGTGAAGAAGTGCAAGGTAAACACCACCACGATGCGTGGTAGCCACTCATTCATTGCTGTATAAGGCTTGGTAGATTCATTGCGTTTGCTATGAGCGAGACGAGGGGTAGAGAAGAAAAAGAAAAAATCGGGATATAGCATGATATGTTGATTCGCTTAGTTTGCCGGGTGTGATTTATGATATATGGACTGACGTGCAATCAGATGAGTACTCGGTAAGGATTGGGTATTTCAATGTCAGTGTCAGTGCCAAATTCAACTGGAAGCTTGACTACATTGGCGTACTGTCTCAATTGCCGTCAGAGGTCCTTCTTTCCTCCCACCTACCGAGGAGGCGGTCGGTCATTGGTTTGTAGCTAGGTCGCAAACGGGATTTGGAATTTGGGACATGAAACTAACATGAACTCCGGTATGCGTGGAAGTAAAATATGAGATGCAAGGTTGCTAGGGAAACCAGAATGCTGATTTTTACTGGCTCTGAAATATCCTATGTCAATGTAAACAAATATATGTATATATATATATGGGTAGCGGCGAGTTTTCTCAGATCACACGAGACGGCCGAGGAGTATGCTCGTTGGGGATTACAAGCGAGATGGGAAATTTAATTTCCGTTGGCGCACGCAAGAAGTTCTTCATAATCACCTTTTTTGTCGCTTCGGAACTGGTCACTGCCGAGAAGTCAAAGGGGGCAATCCATCCTGCTGTTCCAGCGCAGCGCCAATATCGTGGTGACCTCCATAGCGATGCCAAGAAAAAACTCGTGTACTTACAACTCGTCCAATATCGGGATCGATCCAGAAACAGAATTCATCCAACAGAAGAACATTTGCTTTGATACCCAGATAAAGGAGGATCGGCGAGTTATCTTGAACCGAGTGGGATGGATAGGTGAGCCTGGATTGTTGACTACCATGATGGTGAGTTTCATATACTACTTCATATATGTTTTCATCAGCGAAGTACTGGACGGTATCTGTTAGAACATTTTCGTAAGAAACGAAGGTCCGGCTTCTGAGAGAGATACTCAGTCAGGGTGATGAAAAGAGCCAGCAGACCCATGTTGCAGCTTCTGAGCCTGAGAAGCAGAAAAGTGGAGAGGAGGGCGCTGCATCTGAGAAGGTTACTGTCTCTGAGGAGCCTTTTCGGGACGGTGGAAGGGAGTCGATAGTTTAACTCCACGTTGAAGATACTCGGAGAAGGGTGTGGAGTCTGGTGTTCAGAATGCTGTTCATATCAATTACAAGCTCGACGAGAAGGATGTCAATGGAGGCTGAGGATGCTCTTATTTCCGGAGATGATACCCTCATTGAGACAGTCAGCGACGACGAGGTGCACGAAAACAACGCTCCTGACGCTTACAGGTCGTCCCTCTCAGCCTCCGAGGAAAGCATACTTGATCTGAAGGATGGAATTGTCGTTTTTTTGCGCTCGTATACGCATTGGTTTATTGTCCTTTTCTAATCATGACATGGAGCTTTCCTTGGCTTGATGGGCATAGCCTGCTGTTTTTGAGTTGGATCTTTGTATAGGATAGTTGTATGACAGAGGACAGCTTTGGGATTCATCTTGAAAGTAAAAATCTGGGGGAAATATATTACTGCCATGCTGCTTGATGTTGAGTCGACGATGAACTAGAGTTCGCCACTATGATGTTATGCACAATCTTGGCACCACCAACCCAATCTGAACACGGCCCATCGAACGCGTCTGAACATCTCCTCGAACGCGTCAACTCATCAACACCACCGCTCTCGACGACCTTGCCACCATGGCCTGTAAGTACTCTATGCTATGCTATGATGCTTCGCCTTTCCAAATGAAGATGCTGATTGTACACAGCTCGCGAAGAGCGCATGCAGCAGCGCCTGCGCGGCTCCCAGTAAGTCTTCTAATATTATATACCCCGCCTCAGGTTCAGGATTACCGCTGACGCTGATTGTTAAAATAGGAGACGGCAAGTGAAAGACGTCGATTTTGGCCTCTCTTTTCCTATTAATCCCGCCCAAGCCGAACCAAATGCCAGCCCATCTATCCATCAGCCATCACCACAAGCCACCGACCTCCCCTCGCAATCTACATCTGCCCAGACGCCTGCTGCCCGTCAACCATCCTTACCAGCCAGTATCCGGCTATCCGCCAGTACGAGCACTAACGATGCGAATACCTCTGCGAAGAGGAGAAAGCTGGATACGGACGTGGCGCCGAACAGCGCGAGGAGCATGAGGAGCAGGGCTGGAAGGGAGCAGGGACAGGGAGATCCGCCGAGGAGGTTAGAGGATATCGCGAGGAATTCAGAGGAGGGTACCGGGGAGCATGAACAGGAATCATCCGACTTGGAACCGGCGGATGTGGAGATGTCGATAGGGCCTGATTTGTCGGGCGAGGGCGACGGGCACGATAGGGGAGATCCTGGCGATGCGTCAATACTTGAAGAGTCTATCGATGAAGAAACGACCGTCGAAGTTATTGGAGGAGCAGAAGTTGAGGGCAGAGAGGTGGAACTGTCTTCTGTGAAAGGGAGTCGGGCCTCGACGAAGACACCGTTGCCGTTGGAAGAGAGTTTCGTCGATGTGGTTGAGGAGAGTCCGAGAAATGCGCCTGGCAGCGGGATGAGGACGAGAGTGGCTCTTCCGAAGAGCTCGCAACTGTTGAATGAAGACGTGACTGGGCCACGAGAGAAGACGCCGGTGATGCAAAGGAAGCGGAAGAGAGGGGAGAATGGCCCGAAGTCTTCGCCTATTTTGAGAGGAAAGCAGCGTCAGACGCCGATGCTTGATGAACTTGATGAATTATCTCCTGAACAGCCCAGTAGTCGGTTCCACGGGACTCGGGCTGTTGTTGAGGAACTCGATGAGTTATCTCCAGAACAGCCAAATCGTCGTAACCGTACAACTCATGCCATCGTGGACGAGCATGCGGAATATACGGAGGTGGACGAGAATACCAGTCGGTCATATGAGCAGGAAGAAGCCGAAGAAATTGACGATGAGCAAGCTGCTGCCGTCTTGACGAAGAACCAAGGTCGGAGAACATCTAGCAGATTCGCCGCTGCATCTCCAGAACTAGGGGCCCGTGACGTATCCAAGCCGCCCATCTTTAAGAAACCAAAGGGAAGACTCCAGGTCGACTCAAGCCCTGTCCGACAACGCCAGCCCAAGAGAGCACCTTCAAAAGTAAAATCTAAGGGTGCGAAGAAAGCTGCAAACAAGCAGCCTATTCGTGCCGGAAAGCCAATTGATGTTGTTGTCCACCGCTTGACGGGGTGGCCTATGTACGATGAGAATGAGGATGATGCAGACGTCCTCAACTCTGAGATTCCGCATGTCAAGCGCAGCGGAGTTAATACGATAGATGTGCTAAGTGAGGTGTGTCAGGAGCTTATTAGTACTGGGCTCAATACACTGGAGGGAATGGGCAATGAGTGCCAGGACAAAGCGGCGAGGAGGGAGTACAAAGTCAAGTATGACGCTGTGGAGACTTTCGGGAGAGAGCTTAATCTGAGGCTGCTTGAACATGTAAGGTAATCCTTCTGCTGAAGGATAGTAGTGGCTAATCCTGTGGTAGACGATCAATTTGGACAATGCCTACTCCCTTGAGCGTCGTGTTCGAGATGAACAGCGCAAGAAGCTCGGGCTAAGGGAGGAGATCCTCCGCGTAAGAAAAGAGCGCGAGCAAGTGGCACTGCGTATGGACTCCATCCGCATGAAGCACGAGAGAGAGAAGAACGCCGCACAGAGCCGCGAGTCTCTCAACACGGCAGTCTACGATATCGAGCTTGCGATCGAACTTGGCAAGTCGGCGCAGAGTCAAACTACACCTGCTGGCGCGATGGTCGGTACGGAAGTGCTGGTGAAGAGGGTTGCGAACGACGTTAGTGGAATGGGAGATGGAGGGGGCCTCTTGAAGAGGATTCGGGAGTTCAATGCGTTCTTGGAAAGAGCTGCGCTAGCGCTTGAGGAGAGGAAGCTATAGGAAGCAAGGAGAGGGTGGGGGATGGATGGATGTGTGGAGTAATTGGAAGGAATTGGATGATATATGATACCCAGGAATACGAACTTTACGAACGATTCATTTTTTGGGGAGAGGGGGGGGGATAGTTCTTGGGAGAGGGAGTTGGTTCATAGTTGTTGTATTGCAGAATTATGAGCCATGGAAAGAAAGCCTTCATAGATTAAGGGCGCCGTGCTAATTACAATTAAAATCCTGCTAGGTACAGTGTCGTAGTCACAAAAAGAGCTATCTGTGTTGGGGGTATCCTGAAGCCATCTCCATTCCAGTCTTGGAGCAAAGGCGGCTCTTAGCATCTATCCCTCCCTCGGTGAAAAGCGAGCTACCTGGTCCCTTCGTCTCCCCCGACCTTCGAGTATTGGCTCGCGATGTCGCTGATGCTTATACAGTGGCCCGGGGGGCTGGTTTACCCACCACGCGGCCCTATCCTATCAAACAGATTGGGAGACCATGGTCTTCTAGGCCTCCAGCTCCTCCCTTCCCGGTCATCATTCCTGTCATCATCCCGACGTGGTCTCGGCTCCAAAGAATCTCTTCTGTCCCGTTCATCTGCCCTGTACTGTGGCTGGCCAGAGAAGTCTCTCCAGTCCCTGTCACCCTCCCGATCATCTCTCCGGTAGCCTCTCCCAGGCGGCGGCCCCTGTCTATTTCCAGCATAGTAGTTGGCACTCCGACCACGAATCTTGAATTCCGCGCCGTCGTTCCTGCCGATCCCCTCGCTGCGTTGCGTCCCGGTGTTCATCAGAGGCGTAACCCTGGCGGCAGGTGGAGCGCTTTTCCCAGGCGGCGGCTTACTCGTCAGAGGAGCCGTGTCGACCGCCCCAGTGTCGGGCCTGAAGAACGGGCACCGCGCGCCGCGATCAGCATACCGACAGCCACAGCAAGCGCCGCCAAACAGGCCGTCGATGATGATGCACTCCATAAAGGGGCTCTTCTCCACGCAGACCCCACAGTCTCTCACTGGCCTCGTTCCTCGTATCTGTCCGAGCGTGGCCTCGAGGTTACACCCTCCGGCGCTGAGGCCGGTTAAAGGGGTGTCTTCCTTCGTGAGGAGACGCCGTACTTGTGGAAGCGTGAATATGAGATGAGCTGCCTTTGTCACATGTGTAGGGAGCTTGGTGAGCTCGGGGTAGGGATCTTCTGGCTCTGGCTCTGGCTCTGGCTCTAGCTCTGACTCGTACTCCGGGTCTGGCTCATACTCTGGCTCTAGATCTGGCTCATTCTCTGGCTCTGAATCTGGCTCCCGGAGAGAAGGGAAAAGTTCTCTCCCCGCTTTTTGATAAGAGGGAGGCTGCCTTGTAGACATGGAGAAGGGGTTATTGGTTGGTTGTTGGCTATACACTGGGGAGTTTTGTAGGTCTTTGGGGGGTCTTTGGACAATCGGATCAAGGCTACTGGGCTGTTTTGGCGGTGGAGGAGGGATATTAGCCTGCACCGATGCTCCTGAAGACATTTTGGACATTTTGGACTTCTTAGACTCTTTAGAATTTGCGAGTCCCCTATCCAACGACTCACTTTTGGGAGGCTCCCCGGGCTTCACCCAAGGCTCAGGGTTAGGAGCTGCTAATACTGGCGAAGCTGGAAATTTGGGTTTGGCGGGTAGTGACAAGTCGACGACGGGGCCTGTATCGACAGAGAATTTATCGGGTTCCTTTTCTTTCGGCGGTGGATGATTCCGATCTTCTGAGCTAGATATTGATTTGGTCGAGCTCGCCGTGGCTCTCAACCCGGGAGCTTCTTGAGAAGTTTGCGTAGGGTTTGGCGTGATGTGGCTTGGATCTGCCTCGCTGTGTTGCGAGACTGGACTTTCGGACTGTATAGGAGAGACTGGAAACCGAGAGCAGATGTCTACAAATCCATTTTCTGCAAGAGGTCCAGCTGCGGTGCTACCACCATCCACAGCATCCATCTTCATCAATCTTGATTCATGTGAGTTGGTTTGATGCTTGCACAGGGAACTGATCCGAGGCTCTAACACATGCATCGCATTTTCAATCCACTGCTTCCCCTGTTGCTTCCAGGGCACATTTATGTTGGGCCACAGTAGTTCAAATGTCCGTTTTCCGATTGGCACGTGAACTTCGTTTGTCTTTAATTGGAGTTTCGAGGCATCCCAATGTTCCTCGCACGCTTGCTTACCCTCCTCTAACCAGCTGCGTCTCCCCAAGGCCTCAGAGACGACCTTCTCCAGGCCTTCCCATTTGTCCTTATTCTTCAAATCGAGACCGACCCACAGTGTAAAATCCGCGTTCCACAACCGAGTGAACCATTGCCTCCGCCCTTCGATATTCGCAGGCCAGGGGTCGAACTGCGCGGGCCAGGCTACACTATTCGGCGAATCTGATTCAATCGGTCTCAGACCCAGGGCTTTCAATATCGGAGCTTCTGGGATATCTTGTTTAGGTTTGGTCGGAGTTCGCTCCGAGGCGTTCGCTTTTGCCTTTTGTGTCTGAGATATCTCAGTGGGCGGACGCGTACACGAGTCTACGGGTAACTCCGGGAGGGCTTGCGAGGAAGTTGGCTTAGTTATTTTTCTAGATCGTTCTCGCGGTACAGATTTTGTTAACTGTGCAGTTGCCGGAGGAGGCTGGGAGGCTGGTATAGTTCGTTGCGGCACCTCAATTTCTTCGGAAATTGGATCTGTTTTTATTACAACTGAGTTGGTGCGCAAGTGGCCAGTTCGGGGAGGTGGCGAGAACGGACTCGGTGAGAGTGGTCTTCTTTTTGGCGATGAAATCTTTTCTCGGGGCTTTTGAATCCGAGGTCGTTTACTTTGGATTAGGTGCGTCTCTTCATCTAAAATGTTCGCCTGAGGGGTTTCTGAAAGAGATGGAAGGATTGAGCTTGAATCTTTAGCTAGCAGAGGGGTTTGAGGAGTCGTGGTTGAGTCGCCTGAGCAGTGTGCGGACAAAACATTGGGTTTGGAAGTTTGTGCCGCCGACTGCAGGGTGGGAATTGGAACCATTTTTAAGGACATATTATAAGCTCCAGTTGCTGGATTTGCTGGAATGGCTACAGGAGATGTATTCCGCGACTTGACTGGTGTGCGTTGCGGTTGAGAAATTTTTTTATCTTGCTTCGGCTGGAATGTTTTTCTATTCAAGTTTGCGGCTGCCTGAACTGGGGGCGATTGAGATACACGTGTTGAATCATGGTCGGATATCCGGGGCTGTCGATTATCAATTTCTAAGTACGGAATGTATGTATCTTCTTGGGGCTCCTGCTTGATTGTTGTCCGAGGCTCTGAGCTTTGGGCTTGGACTCCATGCCCTGTGTCGTGAGGAGTTCTTGAAAGGTGTCCATCAGGCATGACCAAAGGGCTCTGATCTCGTTGGGGAGTTGCATAATACAGGTCTGTATCGCGTCCTGCAGATATTCTGCATTCGTCGTTCGCTTCATCTGGGCCGTACTCGCCCATAAGTATGTCAGTATCAGCTATTGGATAACGAGGTACGCCATAGTCGGCCGCTGGTGTTGTTGATAGGCCATCCTCTACGGAAAGAGGTGAAGGAGATTTTGGATCTCTGGAACCTCTGTTCTCCTCACGTTTCTCGCGGTTGGTCTTTTCGAATTTGATACGCTTGGAAGATGAAACAACAACGACTTCTTCATCAGTATCATCTTCCACTTTGATCGCGGATGGCGTGGGGGAGGTCCGTCCTAAAAACACCTGTAAGTCATCTCATTGAAAGTAATTCATCCCGTAGATATTTGTTCTGTGAGAGGCAATGAATGAGAGCCCCCCAATGGTGTTGCGAATCGGGGGGACCCAAAGGAAAAACCTTACCTCCGCTCCTGCGCCGAGATCCACTGTTTTCAGCCCGTTGCCTTTTCTGAACCGGGTTCAGAGCCAAAGCAGACCTCAACTCCCTCGCATTCGCACGCTTCTTTCGCGCTTTCTCAGCCTTCTTGGCGCGAATCCGAAGATCCAACCGCTTCTTCGCAAGTTTCAATTCCAGCTCCTGGATTTCGATCTTGACGAGCTCTTCTGCATGTTCTGCGTCAGAAACTTCGGTATCCTCATTCTCTAGAAGTCCATCGAGCTCATCCGTGGGATCCATGGCATCCATTGTTTTATGAATACTGTATACGGATACTTGATGGTGGAAGAAGATGCAGAAGTTGACATGTAGATGTGGTCGAACTCTAAGTGGCCTTGGCGTGTTTGATGACTAATGGAGGACGGTCACGTGCTGCCACACCTGCCCGTTTTTCTTGCCACCAATGTAGTCAAGCGGGCTCTAAGCGAACCAAGACCAAAAAAAAAAAACAATGCTTTGGTAACACTTCCTTTGTTTCTCTGAATTGATGGATAATAGCAGCGTGTATTGTTCGTATCACAGGGTGTGTGATGCAAGCGTAAATACGTATTTTTTTGGTGTGAAGTGTGTTCAGTTGGTTTTGCATATCTCTAGCTAAGTGGAAAGGTATCGACCTATATAGCTACTGAGGTACGAACGGAATAGCAAACGAACAGCCATATAGCTTGAGCTATTAAAAACGTTTGTACTGTGCAACCATATGGTCGGAGATGCTGTAGGCTGACCGCCACTCTCGCCTAGCTCTATTGGCTGTCAGGTGTTTGCAATTCCATGCTTCAAAGGTCACCCAAGTTATTGGTTTCAGAATGAATTGAAGTCTCAGTCCCAACACATATATTGTTAAAATAACGCTCGGAGCCCCGAAGCCAAAGGTGAAAATCTAAATTGCGACAAGAGTCTGATGCGCCACTCCTATGCTTAACTAGGACGGTACTCTGTATAAGTTGGCGGTACTATCTCCGATTGCCTGACTACATATTCAGTCAGTTTTCAAAGTCATATCTGATTATACAATCGTCAAGTGTGAGGTCGACTTCAGCTAGCCATAGAACGACATTGGTCACGTGTAAAACCACTCTTGAGGTTTCTTTGAGTGATTGGCAAAGCGTAATATTAACGTTGTTCCATGAATCACAAAGAAAGGGATTCTATCTGTTTGTTGTACTGAAAAATAAACAGTCTTTGTCACCGACACCGCTAAATGGCATTGTTGCCGCAGCTAGCTTGGAGTCCTCCTGGGAGTTTCAGAACACCCCTTGAACAGTTGTACCTTATGCTTCTTACGTGCATAAATACCACGATCTTTACCTACACATATGATGAATTTTCTTCTGCATCCATCTGCTCTCACGATCAGATAAGCCTTCTTCACAAATGTGTGTTCTCGAAGTTCGATTCTACACCGGGTGTGCCTGTGTCTACAACGCTTCCTTGTGTTGTCCGGGATTTGAGCGCTGGCTAACGATATGTCCTGACTTTAGGGATAAAAGACTTTATCAGAATAGGATGTGCCCGGAGTGCAGGCGGAGGTTTTGGAAGCGGGTCCTCCGGAAATCATTACGACTGTTTTGCATCGAACCATCTGTTGAAAGCAGTTCGTACGTAGGGCCGTTAGGGAAAGGCGAGAAAGACGATGATTGGTAAAAATATAATAGGTAAGAATTACAAAAAAAAAATCACCCACCCCAATTGAATACCCTTTACTATAATTTTTCTAGTGAGCTGCATTTCGGATTCCCTGCGACTAACCCCCCCCCTACCCAAGAACAGCCAAATATATACATACACATACTACATCCAAGCCCCGACAATGCCAATTCAATAAGTGAGATTCTCTAGGATCCTCAGGACGTAACGAGCTGTACCAATTGCACTCAAACAATAACGACTTCTTAGAGTCCCAATGGTAATCAAAGGATGGCGGATAGAAAATTTCAGAATCCTTCCCGAACACAGACGCCTACGCAACGATAGTCACTTCTGCACAACTGTAGACTTGATGCAGAGTTGCTTCTTCTATATTCCAGTCCTTGAAATCATCCTGGATTATACAGAGTGAATCGATCACCGGTAGCGCATGCCAAGTTCCCCAGTTCCGATGACTGCTTGCGCAAAGTTTTTTGACAGCTTCCGCAGGAGGATTCCATCCTTCAACTCTTCGTACTTAGATTTGAGGGTATGGAGTGGAATCAATCTCCCCCACAAGTGACTTAATGCTGCGTAAGGACCTGTAATGGCTTGTTTAGCTGTTTCAACAATACACGGAAGCTGCGATCCATCAGATGGCCCAACATCGAGAAGTATGCTTGGAAGTCAGGAGGTGCTCTCAAGATGCACTTGAGTATGACTTGTCTTACACTCATTAATCCAGCCATGGATCATCTGCAGGTTCTCGGGACTTAGAGTGCGAGAGCTGGCAAGTCTCCGTTGACTATCTGTTTAAATATAGGGTTTCGCATCTATTACCTTGTATGGATTAGCCTCTTGGCTACTTCCACGTCTATAAGTAGCTAGCTCTCAGTACTCGTATACTAGGATCCATACCTTTCACCCTCTCTTCTAGATTCTATCACTATCCGAGCCAAGTCTTAGGAAATCTTCAAATTTAGATGATCGTCAGTTGATTATCGTAAGAGGAAATGGTCGGTCATTTACCGTGGGAATCGAAAACTTTGAAGCTGATAATCTGACTTATCCTATCGTGTGAGACGGTATGCTCTTCGGTCCGAACTCTACGTGAAGAATAGTCACCATTCCGTTGACATGATCTCCGGTTCCTGGTGTAGAAAGTAAACATTGCGACATCTTCTCGACCCTCAACGTTGCACCATGTCTCTTGAAATTCCGGTCCCAGGACTCAGCGAAGAGGTCATCCCACAGGCCATCGTTCTCCCTCAGCGGACCAAGCCCCTATTCTTCCATAGGAAGTATTGTCCAGCTTGTCCTGATTTTCTTCCTGATCATCTTACAGTCAGTCACTTCTAATGCTAATGCATAAACTCTTATTTCGCACCAGAACTCTTAGCATTTAACAGCTTAAACTTTCCACAACCAGAAACTTTGAAAGGCAAATAAAATTGCAAACCTTTTAAATACAAGAAAAAGTTTATAAGTACAAGACGAATTCAATTCATACTAGGATTTAAAAGAGTTAAACTAAAGTGGAGAGATAAAAAGCTGGCTTTCGCTTAACTCTAAGAAAAAAGTCTTGGAAAAAGAAGCGACTTCGGCTTTATCTTTTGTATCTAGGTCTATTAAACAGTCACATCTATGATTCAGGGGGCTTTGATTGACCGAGCATGCCAAAAAAGGGCCAACACCCGAGAACAGTCCCATTGTTCTCAAACATTCAGGGGGATTTTGTCGCAATACGAGCGCGCTCCCATGCTCTGTCACTCGTCCACCTCCACCTTCTGATAGGATTCCGGAAAGATCAGCACAGGCACTCTCTCCCAGATTTGATCCTCCAAAATGTATCAGAAAAGCCTCTACATATCTTTCTATACTTATGCACATGAGCTCACTCAGACATTCTGCTGCACAAACTCGATCCAGGCTCCTTGTCCTCAATCAGGTGTTCTTCGTGTGCGCACAATAAAAAGAAGCACCAGATGCGCCTAGCGCTCGCTGAAAACAAAGAAGACACATGGTAAAGGCGCTTCTTCTGTTGTGCATGTTCTGGAGTGGAGGTAGCCATTGTCAGAGCTTGGCGACCACGGGGAGGCTTTCAAGACTCAAACTGACAAAGACGAGAAGAACATAACTCTGGGTCTCGGGGCTGGAACTTCCGACTGACTGGTGACTAGTAGGACTTGTTTCAAAAGACAAAAGATAGATGGGAGGTTAGAAAGAATAAGGTGTTCCTGTCTTTCTCAGTTACCCAGCGACATGTGCGCCGGATTTGGGAATATCGTGTACGTAACAATCGACAACTTGTTGCAGACCAAAACAGGGCTGGCTTCTGTCTCGAGCCTTGAATCTCAGCTAGTATATGAATCACCTTTCTCACCATCCAATAACTTTTGCTTTCAAACACATCTGTCGAGTATCTATCCTATATTCCACGTCTCGGTAACCAACAGCTCATAAAACCGAACTGTTCGAAGCATCGTCGCCAGACATGTGCCTCGGCTATCACCGACTCTACGCCGAGTGCGGCCACAACGCTCCCATCATCTACTCGAAATGCCAGGCCAACACCACCCGCAACAACAGCCGCGAACCCGACGACTTCCGCGCCGGCGCACCCGGATCCCACGAGCAGTGCAAACTCTTCTCCCCGCCCGAAAACCAGCGGCGGCCCGCCTACCTGATGAAAGAAGGCGCCTGCGAGAGCTGCCGGCTCAAGACCGAACGAAAGCAGCAGAAGCAGCGGCAGATCCTGCTGCGGGAGGATCTCGACAAGTTGAAGGCCGAGGTGTGGAAGAGGAACAACCCGCGGAAGTGGAGGGTGCTCAACGCGGTCCGGAAGTTCCTGAAGCCGGAGATTCCAGCTCCCGCGGAAGATTGAATTGACCATCAACCCGGTCGGTCGATGAGGTGGAAAGATCTGCGAGAAAGAGTTTCCATGTGACCTCTGGGTTCCATGTATATCACCCTCGGTCGGTCTCTTCGACCAGGCTTAGCTTGAGCTATATACGCCACAGCGAAAGAAGCAAAAAGAGCCCAGAAGCACTTAGAACAGAAAGGACACGCGGTGTTTCGAGAAGGCCGGGAGGGACAGAGAGAGGACTCGAGGAAGTCCAAAAGGCGCAGAGAATCCGAGAGATCATTTTTTTCGTTTAGGCGCTACCTAGTTCTTCAAGTCTGGTTCACAAGCCGCTCCGAGAAGCTCGGAACTCTCCGTGGGTTTCGCACGCAAGCCTTTCTCTCTGTACTTCCTTACCAGCCATCAAGCCAGATACCAATTTGACTCATCATCTCAGAAACCAACGAATCCGCAAATGTGCAGAGCAGACGCTCCACGTGACTTGTATACAATACGCGGAGAGGGGGGGGGGGGGAAAACGAGAAAGTAAATGGCCGGAAAACCGACGACGAAAATTTCAACGCAAAACCGTTCAAAAGTTGATGTGTCCACCTGGGATATTACGTCAGGCCTGAGAAATCTCGGTGCGGAAGCGTAGGAAAGGTGCCCATGACCGGATGCAGCGGCGTGTCATCTCCGCTCTGATCCAAGGTAAGGTGAAGAGAGATAACACACTCTGCAGTTTCGAAACGATCAGCAAGAACCTCTTATGATGTGGTGTTGTCTCTTACGCACTGCAGTTATACATACTCTTTGCCTATTTCCCGCGCTGGAATGGAGGAAAGGGAATGGCTAGCAAGGTAGGCATATCATTGGAAAAAAAAAAAAANAAAAAAAATCGACAAAAAACTGAAAACAGCGCCGGCCGGGGCTTCTGGAGATTAAGAAGTAGTGATGTCAAGATCTTCTAATTTTTACCTTATACGGCGTAGAGTGCCATCTCGCCGCGCCGTTGTTAAAAAGCGCGAACCCATCGGCCCGTAATATTGTGTCTACGAAACATAGCCTGTCAACTACCGGTAATTTTCACAGAAAAGTATATCATCTGCGACGGAAGCGGAATCACAGATCGAAGTCCAGGATAATGTAGGGTTTTTCAAAACAAGTATTTAGATCCACTCAGAATCGATCCCCCTTCTGCTCCTTACCAATTCCAGCGACCTTTTTGAGCGACTTCTGTTTTTTCTATCATTTTGTCAAGATGATGTTGAGCGACGTTTCTTCGTCGCCGTAATTGCTCTCGTGGCTCCTGCCGTTCTAGCAGCCCCCCCCC